CCGCTCTTGAAAGAAGCGATGGAGCGCGGGCACGCGCCCAGGAGGGCCGCTGCGCGCGCCGAAGACAGCCACTCAGCGACGCACACTGGGCCTCCCTCGCTGTCGAGCCGCCGGCGAAGATTGCGGAGCTCCGCACGCGGGCCCCCGCCGCGCTGCGGCGCGCGGGCCCCCTGCGCCTCCGCAACCCATGACTCGAGGAGAGCTTCGACGGCAACGCCCCCGGCGGCCTGCGCCCGCGCCGGCGCCGGCCTCTGGACATGGACTTCCACCTCCTGCGCGCGCGCGGGCGCGATGCAGCTGGTTCGCGGCGCGAAATGCGCGATCCTGAACGCTTGTCGCGAGTGTGATAGCTTCCCGAATGCACCGCTTTTGGCCGCCGTCAAGGTCCGCCCCCAGGAACTGGAAGTCTCTGAATTTGGCCCCAGCGAGCGCGGACGGGCGCGACACGCTTTCGGCAGCGAGCGCCGCCGCGATCGCATCGAACCACGCCGCATCGTGCCCGCCATGGCCTGCGGCTCTCTCCAGGAAGACTCGCATGGAAGCGGCGTGCCCAGCCATTGCCGTTTCGACGGTCGGCGCGCGCCAAGCAATCCTTCTGCCGCTGAGCCCTGTCTGCCGAGCGCGCGTGGAGCGGCTGCGCAATGCGCGACCATCGCGGACGCAACACGAAAACGAATAAAACAGCATTTTGACACGCACGCCGACGCAACAGGATTTGGCGCGCAAGCCGAACTGTCGGCCGACAGTCGCTCGCGCGCGGCGCAGCGGCGCCCGCGCAGCCGAAGGAGATGCCCAGGCATCGGGCTTCCAGAATGCCTCGCTAAGACGCGGCTGCACGAAAGAAGCGCCGATCACGCGAAGGAGCCAGCACTGCTCCCGCGACGGCAAATCGGCAACGTTAAGTTTCGAGGGGGCGCGGTCGACGCGGAGCGAGACGCGCAATTGCGCCGCCTGCAGCCACAACGAATTGATGAGACACGTATAGTCCCACTCTTTGGAGGCGCCTTTCCGCGCGGCGGCCTCGGCACCGACGTTGTCAGACCAGAGGCGCACGCGCCTGCCCGCGAGCGCGTCGCTGAACGTGGAAAGGCCAAACGCGATCGCTAGAAGCTCGAGGGACATAATCTGCGCATCGCCCCTCTGCTTTAAATGGCGCAGAACGCAATCGGGGGGAGCCCAATCGGAGTAGGAGGCCCGCCCGTCGAGGAAGAGCACAGCCGCGACGCGGGGCGGCGCGCTGCGCGCGTCGACAAAGAGCTGCGCTGCCTCGCGCTGGTCTGGCGCCCAGACACGGGTCTCGCAGAGCTCCAGCGCTAAGACTTCTGCCCACCATTCGAGTGCGACGCGCAGCTGCTGCGGCACCACCACGCCGCACTGCTTCGAGTGGGCGAACAAGGGCCAGATGAGCGCGCGCCCTATGCGATGGAACATGCCCGAGCATGCCCACATCAGGGCGCCCGCAAGCTTTGCCGCGTCCCCCGGCCGCAAAACGCCCGAGGAGAGCGCGTCACCAATGCGACCGCGCCACTTCTTGACCTTGTCGGGCGAGGGGGTGCACGAGAAACCGCCGTGGTCTGCGCGGACCTGAAGGCCCAGGACGACAAGCGGCATGCCCGCGGCGACCTTGTCCGCCGTGATTGCAGAAGGGCCGAGGATGCAGCGCACGAGCCGCACGATGCACTCGAGCGCGTGCTCGGCGCATGCCGCGCGCTCGGCGCCAGAGGTCATCGACGAAACGCAGCATCGGAATGAACAGTAGGCGACGCACAAGGTGCGAAATGAGCGCGCCGACCCTCTCCCACGCATGCACGGACGCGACGGCGCCGAAGGGCGTGGCCAGGCGCCCTGCCACATGGGCCACGCCCTGCGCGAGGAAAACGAAGAACAGGAACCGGCGATGCATCGGCATGGCGGGCAGCCTACGGAAGGCCGAGTCAATGTCGGCTTTGTAGAACATGATGCGTTCGCGCGTGCCCTGCGCCACGCCCCTCGCCACGCGATACAGCGCATCGATGGACTCGGGGCGAAACTTCTCGCCTGCCGAGGTGCACCCGTTTACTTTCGCGCGAGTTAGATCGTCAACAGCCCGAACGCGTACGTCGCCATTGGACCGCGTTTGCACAACCCCGAAGCGCGGCGACAATACGTTTGCACTAAGGTCGGCCTGCTCAGCCGTGACAGGCTGGGCCACGCGACCCATGCGCGCTTCTTTAAAAGACTGCTGCAGCAGCGTCGCGGAATGAGCGTCTTCTTTGAGGGACGCCAGCAACGCGCGGTTGGCTTGAGCGGCGCCCCCTAGCACGGTTGAGACCGGCTGCGCGTCGGGACGCTGCACAGGCACGCCGCTTCCCGAGACTGGGAGCGGGCCCACCGCTGGCGCGCCGCGGCGAAAGAATTCGATGCACGCGGCGTCCTGGAAATTGGTACGAGCGGCGAGCGCTTCCATTAACGGGCCGTTGACGCCAGTCGCCACCTTGCGCACGCCTGCATCGGCCCCGAAAGCGCGCGCGCCGCCCGCCACGGCGGGACGCAAGCGCACATGCCTGCAAGATGCAAGCACCAATGCCTGCACACCGCACGACCCCGAGGCGCGCCGCGATCCGCCCCGACGCGATCCCCGCGGCGCGCCTGCACGGGGCGTTCGACGCGAAGCGAGCAGAAGAGCAAACGAGCAACGCGCATGACGTCGCTTCCCCCTCGCGCGCGCGGGCCCTTCGCGTGGGGCCGCGCGCCGCGAGGCACATGCCGCCGCCCCCCTCGCGCGCGCGCGGGCCCTTCGCGTGGGGCCGCGCGCCGCGAGGCACATGCTGTCGCCCCCCTCGCGCGCGCGGGCCCTTCTCGTGGGGCCGCGCGCCGCGAGGCGCAAGAAAGCGAAAGGCGGCCCGCGCGCCCTGCTCGCCCGCCTGCGCGCGGGCCAGGCGCGGGCGCGAAGTTTGTGCACGCGCACAACGCAGCACAAGCGAGCGCGCGCGTTTTCGATGGCGTTGGGCGCCCACAAAAATTGGAGCAGCCGGATGTTTGCGATTTCCTCGCGATTCACTCACAGACGAGGCTTCCGCTCGAGACGTCCCCAACACTCAGGCATCAAGAGCCCGAAAGAGACGACGGTCACAGGTTTGAGGACCGCCTCTGGTTGTGAACACAGAATGTGCGGGCCCCATGGGGAGGGGGCTCCCGCTGGAGACTTCCTCGCGGCTCACTCGCAGACGAAGCACCCGCTCGAGACCTCCTCCAGATTAGGCCTGAGGTGCCCACAAGAGACGACAGTTACAGGATCTGGACGACCCGTGCGGGCCCCATAGGGAGGGGGGCCCAGTCAAGATTTCCTCGCGGTCCACTCGCAGACGAGGCCCCCGCCCGCGACTTCGTCCAGATTCAGGCCCGAGGAGCCCAAGAGTGACGACAGTTACAGGTTTCCCGATGGCCAGCTCAGATTAGAAACGTGACGTGGCGACCCCGTTGGGAGGGTCTCCCGCTCGAGACGCCCTCGCCGTTTACTCGCAGAAGAGGCGGCTCACCGCGGAGACTTCCTACAGGCCCAAGCCTCAGGCGCGCAGAAGTGACGACATGTACGGGTTTTCCCAGGGCCCCCTTCGGGTTGAACACATGAGGCGGAGGCCCCCCGGAGGGAGCGAGCTCCCGCTCGAGACGTCTTCGCCCTTCACTCGCCGACGAGGCTCCGGCTCGAACACTCCTCCAGAAGCAGACCTCGGGAACCCAACAGTGACGACAGCTACAGGTGTCCCCATGACCCACTCGGATTCCAAGCATGACCCCTCCTCATCATTATTATCCTCCGCACCACCACCAGCATCATCATTGACAACAATAGAATTATCAGCAGCATCACCATCAGCAGCATCATCACCATCATCATCGTCGTACGCATAAGTGTTGAATGCCCCTGCCCCGAATCTCCTCCACCTCGCCCCCCTTTCCTCCTTGCTTCTCCGTAGCATCGAGTGGAGCAGCATGACAGTTTGCATGGAGCAGCATGGCAGTTGTTCGTCGACATGGGCGCGGGAATATGCAGTCGAACTCCGCTGCATGGACGCAATATTGCATGAAGTCTTGTCCTAGCCATCCCCCTCAACTGTCCTCCTTCTCCCAGAAATCTGCGCTGGAATGCAATCAGCAACGCTTGAAAAACAAACACACAAAGAACAAATCTGGCGCCTTCGGGAAGATCCGGACGAGGTGCAGCCGAGCCGTTCTGGTCAGCCCGACCGCGATCCCGACATTTCGACGATCCGATGCGGCCCGATGCTTGCATGGCGCCGTTGTGCATCCCAGCGCAGCCGATCCGATTCGACACGCATCATCAAACCAGGTTCCACTGAGCCCAGTCGCCAAGGCCGCAGGTGGCTCCCAGTGGCCGGGGGGGCGGGCGGACCGGCGCGTCGCGCGAGAAGCCGCGTCGCATCGGCGGAGGTCTCGCTCCGCGGAGAGCGGCGGAGTCCACATCGAAATGCGCACGATCAAATATTATGGCCCGTGGGATTCGTCCGGACGTCCTCGGTCAGGAGGCAATGACTGCGAGGTCCCACAGAACCACGGAAAATCCCGCAGTAGAAATATTGGCATGGGCTCTGGCCCCCCAGGGCATGTGCTGTTCATGCACTCGCCGCCCATGGCTTTGGCGGCGCGCTCTTGCGCGACGACAGGGCTGATGTTTTGGAAACATGGAATATCACCGCTCTCGTGGGCCAAGACGCAGAGCGATACAAAGCCAGACGGAGGAGGAGGAGGCGGAGGAGGAGGAGGGGCAGGAGGGGGGAGGAGGGGAGGAGGAGGAGGAGAGGAGGAGGAGGAGGAGGAGGAGGAGGAGGAGGAGAGGAGGAGGAGAGGAGGAGGAGGAGGAGGCGGAGGAGGAGGAGGGGGAGGGGGGAGGGAGGGGGAGGAGGAGGGGGGAGGAGGAGGAGGAGGGGGAGGAGGAGGAGGAGGAGGAGGAGGAGAAGGAGGAGGAGGAAGACCTCGGCGTGCCCCCTCCCACGGCCGCAGGTGGCTTGCCGGCTGCGCCCTAACGGCGCGGCCCGGCGCCACTCCGCCCGCCGCCGGCGCGGGGGCGCGCGGCCCCGAGGCGGCCCCCGCCTGCCGGGCAGCCACGGCACCAGACGCGCTCGCGCCCAAGCTGTCCTCCTCCTCCTCCTCCTCCTCCTCCTCCTCCTCCTCCTCCCTCCTCCTCCTCCTCCCCCTCCTCCTCCTCTCCCATTTCCTCCTCCTCCCCTCCTCCTCCTCCTCCTCCTCCTCCTCCCCCTCCTCCTCCTCCTCCTCCTCCTCCTCCTCCTCCTCCTTCTCTTTCTCCTCCGTCCACAACGGGATCAGTGGGCTCCATACGGTGGAGACCTATGCCGAGAAACACCCTGCTTGCCTCCAGGGTGCCCCGGGTTTCTAGGGGCTTGCTGGTTTTGGGAGCCTTGAGACGGGGGTCAATGCAAACCGGGGTCAGCCAGAGCACACGATCTTGCAGGATCTTGCAGGGCCAGGGTCGCATTGACCCGGGTTTGGGTGCAGGATCTTGCAGGATTTAGCAAGATTTTTCGCATTGACCCGGGCTTGGGTGCAGGATCTTGTAGGATTTTGCAAGGCTCGATTGACAAAGGTCTGGATTGATCCGGGTCAGAAGGTCCCCGATGGTTTTTCTGTGGAAAGCGTGACGTTCCCGCACCACGGATCCATGGACGTCCCGGGGTCTCAGGGCTGGGTTTCTTGTGAGAGGGTTCTTATGGCCGAGCTCCAACTCTACGCCCGTATGGAGACGCAACACATACAGTGTTCAAGACGCGCCTGTGCGCAAGCACGCCGCGTTCGGGCGCACGTGGCGCGCCAGACCTGCGCGTTCAGTCTGCGCGTTGAGCTTCGTGCCAGCACGCTGCACTGCGGAGCGCGGCAGCTGAGGCTGGCGTCGTAAAGGAGACACGACGGGAGGTTTTTTTCTGTTTTCGGCCATCGGGGGCCCTCGCGGGGCCTCGGGGCCGTCAAAGACAACGACTCGGGATGGGAAGCCGGCCCTGGGGCAGGGATCAGATTCCGATTTGGCGTTCGATTTCTCGATGGAGGCCTACTAGCCTGCCGATTTTTCCGCCGATTCGACTCCTCCCGACTTGGCTGCCGATTTCCGCCGATCCGAGTCATTTCGATCGCCGATCCGACTTCTCGATTCGATTCTGGGCTCTCCTGCTGGGGAAGGGATCGGGACGTCCAGGGACCGTGCATTGAAAAAGTCACGACGTCGCCTGCCTGGGGCCCCGGGGCCGACCTGCGCTCTCCAAGGCGATGCGACTCGATTCGCCGGTCGAGGCCGCGATTCACGCACGATTCGATCCGGACTCGGCTCGCTTCACGGAGCCAGGCGTGGCGATCCGACATCGCCTCGATTCGGGACGCTTCGCTGGCGATCCGATCCGACTCCGGCGCGGTCCGATGTCGCGATCCGAGGCAGCTTAGGCCAGACGGTTTTTGTACGATGTGTTGCGGGCCCCCCCTTCCTCCTCCTCCTCCTCCTCCTCCTCCTCCTCCTCCTCCTCCTCCTCCTCTGACACGGAAGCTCCGGGCTGCGCCGTGCTCATGAGGGAGCCTTGGGGGGGGAGGCGTCGTCCCAGAGGCTGCGGGGGGGGGGAGCAGCATCGGCCCCCAGCCTTGAAGTCGGGCATGTCCTTCTACAGGAGGAAGATGCAGAGGTAGTCGAAAAAAATAGTCTGGGGACGATGTTTTGACTATTCCTGGTCGACTAGACGTAAGAGTGACCCTTCGCCGGAGTGACCTGTGGTGCGGGCCCAATGGTGTCCCCCGATCGCCGAACACGATGCGATAGTGTCATCTTGCGGGCTTGTGTTTGGTCGCCCCGTGGCCCCCCAAAAAGCCGCGCACCAAAGGTCACTCTTACCCATGGTCACGTTTGCGTGTAGCCGATCTTGACCATTCTCGATCTTTCAACTATGTGTCATGTCTTCGTCCAGCATTCGCCTGTAGGATTTAGTCGGGCCTGTCCCTGTACAGGGGGAATATTCAAAAACATTTGAAAAACAGTCTGGGGACCATGTCTTTACAAGTTTGGAGTATTTTGTGTTTTTTGTCGAAAATCCCCTTGTAGGGGGACACGCCCGATTTAGCTGTAGGAGGACATGCCCGACCCAACCCCAGTCGCCCAGCCACTCACCGCCCTTTCTGCAGGCGGCGGGTGCCCCACCCGCCTAGGAGCGCGCGGCATCGCCCTCGGGGGGCGTTCGCCGACACATCGGCGGTGCCTCGCTGAAGCGAGCCCGTCAAACTGTTTTACCCGAGCCTTAAGTCTGGCACGGCCCTCTACAGGAGGAAATGTCAAACCCCCCCAAAAAAAGTCGGGGGGAGATGTTCTGACTATGGTTGGCCGTTGTTGATCATGTGAAAGGTTGGTCCTTTCTCATCCAAAACCCGCCTGTAGGAGGACATGTCCGACCTAACCCGAGCCAGACCCTTCCGCCTCACCTCAGCTCCCTCTGGCCTTGGAGGCGTCGGCTGCCACTGGACGTCGCGTTCGTATGGGGTTTGGGGATCTGTCCTCTGGCTTCGGAGCTCCAGGGACCATGCAGAATAGACAGCCCCCCTGGGACCCGAAGCCTCAGCCAGAGGAGCGGCAGAGAGCGGCAAGTCTGCGGGACCATGCAGAATAGACAGCCCTCCCGGGACCCGAGCCCCGGCCAGGCCGAGCGGCAGCGAGAGCAGCAAGGCCCGCGGACGTCCTCTGTAAAAAGTTGGTCGACGCGGAGGCTCGCCCCCTTTTCGAAGGCCAGGCTCGGCCTCGGGAGCGCTGCGGGTGGACCTGGCACGCTCGGGCGGGACCATGCAGCAAGGGCTCCCTCGAGGGCGCGAAGTTATTCGCGCTTCGCGCTTCGCGGTCCTCGTTCCTCCTCCCCCTCCTCCTCGTCCTCCTCTTCTCCCCCTTGGGGGGGCGGCGCGAGAGCGCGAAGTTATTCGCGCTTCGCGCTTCGCGCAGCGCGAAGCGCGAACTTAGGAGCCCTTGATGCAGAAGGACAGCCCTCCTGGGGCCCGAGCCCCGGCCAGGCCGAGCGGCAGAGAGGGCAGCAAGGCCTGCGGACGTCCTCTGTATAAAGTTGGTCGACCGGGGAGGCTCGCTCCCTGCGAAGGCCAGACCTCGGCCTCGGGAGCGCTGCGGGTGGTGGACCGGGTGGTGGACCTGGCACGCTCTCGGAGGCCCGAGGATCAGGAGGGGAGAAAAAACACACAGACACAATGAATCGTCGATTCCCCCGAAAATAAGGGAAAATATGGGAAAATAGGGGAAGTGGGGAGGAGGACAAAAACCAAGATAATATTGGAAAAGATTGAGGATATGTTTATTTGTGTGTCTTTACTTGTGTGTCCCAGGGCCCCTTCAGAGGATCTGACTCGAGGTCTCACGGGAACGAGATCCAGAATGCGGGTTTAACTTGGTCAGGATCGGCATTCATCTCTTCGAGTGCCGGCCCGGGTCTGGCCAGCAGCGTGACTAGATCTGGTATGATGGGAGATCTCAGGATCCAGCGCGGAGTCCCGGACGCTTTTCTTCGTTATTCAAGGCAGCTTGCGCCTCGGGAGCGGAGGGGAGGAAACTCAGTTTCAGGATGTCTTCCCCAACCCGCATAAAGAAGAGTCAGCCGTTCTTCTTCCGTCATCGCCCTTTATCGTGCAACCCGCCATTGGCACTGGAGCGTCGTCTCCAGCACCCGCTGGCCAAAAAAGGTAGTTGGATAATAGTTTTCTTTTTGCTGCGCCGCGAGATTTGCGTACTCCCTCCCTCTTACCGTATCCTCCTCCCCTCCATGTCGCTATTGTTGCCGCGCCCTGCCGCCACTGTTGCTGCGTTCTCGCACACCCCGTTCACGTTTTGGGTACCGCTGGGAAGCTCAACCACTGCCCCAGTGGGCGCGGTCGCAGGTGGCCACCACGCCTCTCCCACACGTTTCGTGCCCCACAGGGGGCCCCAGCTGCGGCCCCTTTGTGGGCGCGGGCGCACGCGCCCCCACATCCGTTTCGGCGTACGCCTCACACGCACTTCCTGCCCCATGTGTACCCCTGCTGCGGTCCCCGTGGGCGCGGGGTGCACTTGGTCCCCGCATATGCCTTTGCGGCACCGCCCCCTCGCACGCGTCTTGCGCCCTGTGGGGGGGGCCAGGCTCTGGCCCCACGGCGCAGGCGGTCACGGCATGTTGCATTAGCACACACACACACACACGCACACACGTTTTGACGTCGCGGCCACGCGCGCAGCTTCGCGGCGGAGCAAGTCGGGCGGGGAGACGCGCGCGGCCGGCCCAGAGCACGCGGCGTGGGGATATTGGATCCGCCCATAGGGGGGATCGACAGCATCATTCGCGAAGGGGCACTGGCGAGGGCAGCGGCGGGGACGGGGAAAGGGGAGAAAGACGGGGAGGCCAGGAGACACATGTTTAAAGCTGGCGGCGCAGAGGATCCTCTGGCGCGGGCGGTTGATAGAAGTGCCAAGTGCGATCGAGCGTTGTCGAAGGCACACTGTACAAACCGTGCACACTGTCAATTGCAGCGATGGGCGGTGCGAAGGAAGAGCTGTTGTAAATCCAAGCGAACTTGCAGCGGCCAGGGAACCGAGGAAGCAACTCGAGTCGAGGCAAACTGAAGCGCGACCCGTCTGGTGCGAATTGGTGGCCACTGATGCACAGAAAAGGATGTAAGAAAAGGAAGCACAAGAAAGAGTGAAAAAAGTGCGCTGGCTGCCAGACCAGCCGAAGTGAGCGCAGCAAAGACCCACCACGAACAACCAACACGAGGTGGCGCATAGCAACCCTTAATGCGGCCACTGAATCACCAGAGCGGCGTAGCAAAGAGCCGGAAAGAAGTACGCTGCTGAGCAGATTGGCAGCGCCCGCGGTCATGCCCCGCGGTCATGCGAGCAGATGTGCGAGGCGTGGACCTACGGTCACAAGTCGACCGCGACGCGGGCGAATTGAGGCGACGACGCGACCGCACCGACCTCAGAGAAAGCAAGGAAGCTGAGCCACGGACGCGCCCAATGCATAAAACACCGCAGATGAGGCGCACGAGGCAAGCGGTGCACGCACAAGCTGCTAGCACATAGCCATTGTCACCTCACACAAAATGCAAGGACGGACAGAGATCAAAAGTGCAGCTGCACAGGCGAAAGAGCGCAGCGAGTTGACCACCCAGCCAAAACCCGCCGCCGCGAACAAAAATGGGAAGGAAGGGGGGGAAAGGCGCGATGAGTCGCGCGGTCGCGCTACCACGACGAGGTCATTGGCGAGATGTCCGCCCACGGCACGCGCACAGCGGCTACCCGCCAGGATGGCCGGGCAGCCCGACCAGCCACCAGGACGGCGCACCAGCAGCAGCACAGCGACGCACGCCCAACGACGATCCAAAAGATAGCCGGCCAGCCAAACGCTTTGCACGGCCCGCGTGCGCGAGCAGCAACCGCAGCCCTCGAAATAGAGAGAGCCCGCGAGTGGCGCAGCACCCCCACGCCCCCCTCGCGCCGACCCCCCTGCCCAGGCCCCCCGCCGCGCGGCCGGCCAGATGGCCCCCAAAAAAAGATGCGGACCATAGCCTCCTGCGGCGGGGGGGCGAGGTGACCCCTCTGCCGACGCCGATCCACGGCGGCCTCGCGGCGCGGCGGGGGGGGCCAAGGGACGGCGGCGGCACCGCGGGCACTGCGCGAGGCGCGCGACGAGGCCAGAGGCGGCCGCGACGCAGAGGGCGCCAGACGCACGAGGCGGCCGCGGGGGCATTTGCGGACCGTCTCGGGCGAGGCATCCAACGAAAAATACGATCATGGGTAGTGTATTAAAAACGCGGGACCGCGGGCGACACCGCTGAGACAGCCCCAAAACGAGGGGGGCGAGGAAGCGAGGCAGCGCGAGGAGACGCGCGGCCGCGCCCACAGCACAACACGAACAACACAAAACGTCAGTTGGCAGCGCTGAAACTCTTCTGGCAGCCGAGGCAACGCAGCTGGCGAGACGACAGCGGCGCCGAGCCGGAGGCAGGAGGCAGGCGGCGCAACCAGCAGGGGCACCGCCCGCGCCGGGGGCGCGCGGGACACGCCACGCGTCGCGCGGGCGGGGCGCGAAAACGAAAGGAGCGCCAAAACCGGCGAGGCCGCATGGGCGGCGCAAACCAAGCGTTGCCAATGCAGCTGCCAGGCGCCAGATTCGGCGACACACAGAAAGAACACGCCTTGGCGCCTTCAGGCAGAGAGTGGGCCAGGGGGGGCGGGAGAACCAAGCGCGCGAGCACCGAGCGGAGCAAGCCGCGCGCGGCTGGCTCCTCAGTCGGAGCGGACGGGCGCGGGGCCGAGCATCAGAGCACGACCTTCCCTGGAGTAGGCGCCGGCCAGGCCGGGACCTCCGGAGGAGCTCGTACACCCGACTGTAGCACGAAGGCCACGGCAGAAGTAGCACTCCCTTTCTTGCGCATCACACACGACGCAGAGCGGAGCGCGCTGTCCAGGCACACAGTCCCCATGAGGCACCCCACGGATAGCCCGGCAACCCTTGCGGCCCGCCGCTGTTGCAAGACAGCAGTCAACGCGCGGTCGCACTGGCATCCCACGGGCAGATTTGTAGAGGAACCGATTCCATCTGATACGTGGAACCTCTCTGGCAGCGACACACTGCGCCACGCCGCGCGACGAGGCGACGCGCATGGGCGGGCATGCCCAGCGAAGCCCCCAACAGGTAAAATAAGCGGATACGCCTCCAAAGCACCCCCCACATAGCGGAGTTTTCTGCCATGGCAACCATTGTTCGGAAGGGAACACTTCAGCGGCGGAATAGATCCGTAGCTCAAAGGTTGGATCGGTGCGGTCAAGGGTAAAACCGCATGCCCGCCCACCCAGGCAGCCCCTTTATACGCTTCGGCGCCGAGGAGCACAGCCAGCGATAGTGCGCGGCCTCGACACAGGCCCCAAGAAGTGGAGGGCCATGGGTAGGCACTAGGAGGGCGCGCGCGGGCCCGGAGCGCCATCAGTTTGAGCGTGAAAGTGGTTGCCAGCGGCGGCCCCAGCAGGATTGGCTTCGGTTGGCGCGGCACGAGGTTTCGCCCCAGTCGCGATGACCACTTCGTCGCCAATGGGGAGGCCACTTGTATCGTGCCCGTGGAGTTATACTCCGCGTACTCCGTCTGCAACCAGGCGGCCGACATGAAAGCACATGGCTGCTCTGAGTTGGGCAGAGAGGGATCCTCGACCGCCGCAGCATGTCTGCTCGGTCGGCGGCGTGTTGCAGTCCATCTATCCCACGAGGATTTCTGTCAATCTGGCGCACCTCATTCCAGGTGTGCGCCGCGTTGGAGGCGTTTGTGAAAGTCGCAAGCAGCGGCCGCGGCTAGGCAGCCAGCGGCGCGGCGCCAGCAGCCGCGTCAGCGGCCCTGCCGGCGGCCGTGCGCCGCTGGCGGCGGCGCAGAGCGGAGCGGGAATCTATATATATATAATATATATATATATATATATAATATATATATATATATATATATATGCGGGGGGGTCGTGACGGGAGGCAACTCCTTCACAGCACCACCTTGGGCAGACTGGCTGGCGGTCAGGTGACCGCCAGCCCCGCGGCGCGAGCCGCTGCGGCTCCCCTCGAAGCGAGCGGCTTGAGCCAAAGGCCTGAGCCAAAGGGTGCGGACGGGGCAGCACACACACACACACACCACACACACACACACTTGTTTAAGTCAGCGGCGCAGAGGATCCGCAGGCGTGAATAGCAGATGGAAGTGCGAATTGCGATCGAACATTGTCGAAAGCACATGGTACAACGCGTGCACACCGTCAACGCAGCGATGGGTCGTGTGGAGCCGCAAGCCGAAGCGAGACGTGCAGCGGCCAGAAGACGAGGAGGCGATTCAACTCGGAGGAAGCCGAAGCGCGTGCAGTCTGGTGCGACATGGCCGCCACTGGATCACCGACACGGCGGTGTTAAGCAGCGAAGCACAAAAGAACTCGTAACTGCTGCCACACCAGCTCACTGGCGGGGTACAGCGCCGTGCTCGGAGGTCCTGTGACGTAGATTGGTAGGGTGCTGGCCTTCGGACCAGCAACTTAACAAGATTGGCACAATCCCAGAATAAAGAAAGAAGCATAGAGTGGTGGAGTCGAGACACGCGACACACGTGGAAACATTTACATGCGACACCGAAACCATCCGAATGACGCTAGGCCGTAAAATCCTTGTTGGGGAACCACGCCACCAAGAGAGGCCAGTGTCAATTGCACGTTCGGGCTGGCCCATAAGGCTGCAATAGCGCCGACCGAGTTGATTGGTAGGGCACCATGCAGCAGTAAACATAGTTCTCATACACGCACAGCCATACGCACACACCTCACACGTTCTGCGCTCCATGAAGGGCGTCCCTACTGCAGCCACCAGCGGGTACGGGCACATGTGGCCCCTGGTACCCGCACCCGCTTCACCATGCCCCTCAAGGGGCGTCATCCTCCTCAGAGGTAGGGCCTTCTCTATTGTTTCTAGCCTCAGTTACGCTGACGTTGTGCTTATCTGCGCCTGCCTATATCGCTCAGCGTTACTTACGCGCAGGGCTGCCCCGACTCGGTTTCCGAGTTGGTTTGTCCTATCAGATCGTCTTCGGTCGCTCAAAAAAAAATGCTCCCGCTGCAGCGTCGGCCACGTCTCAGGATCTGCGCTGTGCCCCCGTCGTTCAGAGTTGTGGTCTCGCACCAGTCCGGGCCACAGTTCTGGATCCGATTCATTCTTTCCTCGTAGTTGCCGTCCCCATCTTTTTGTTCCTCCTCCACCTTCTTGTGATCCTCCTGCTCCTCCTGATCCTCTTACTCCTGCTACTGATATTCCTCCCCCTTCCTCATCATCCTTCTCTTCATGCTGCACATCCTCGTGCTCATCCGCCACCTCCTATTCCCCCCTTGCTGACTGCGCATCGCACGATGGGGTCATTATTGTGGACCCAGAACGATGAGGAAGTGCCTCAGCGCCGCATAATAAGGTTTGGGGATCAAGGTCCTCAAGGAAACCTCGAAGCCGGCAGTGATGGGTGGGAGGTGTAGGATGTCAGAAAGGTCGCGAGCGCAGTTGGTTGTATCCCCCCTCTCTGTCTATATATATATATATATATATATATATATCGATATCTCTCTCTCTCTCTCTCTCTCTTGCGATTCCTGACTATCTGTAAACATAGATTAATAAAAAAATGCATGCATGGCCGCATGCATGCATACATACATATATATGTATATGTGTGTATGTATATAGATAGACATGTTTGTGTATGCATATAAATATGTACATATATATGTATGAATATAGTTGTGTGCATATAAATAAACACACTTATTTATATATATAAATATATAAATATATATATATATATATGCAAACCTAGCTATATACAATGTGTATGATATCATATATAATTTCATATACAAATATATATATATATGTTTGTATGTATGTATGTATGTATGTATGTATGTATGTATGTATGTATGTATGTATGTATGTATGTATGTATGTATGTATGTACTCCCCCCCCCGCTCCTCCCTGCCCCTCCCCTCCCTCTGCCCATTCCCCTCCCTGGTCCAGGCAGCGCGCCTGCTGGCCGCCGTGCGCGGCGACGAGCGGACAGACGCCCTCTCGAGGCGCGAGGAGCTGCGGCAGCTCTCCCTGGACCGCTTTCCGCTCTCCGATGCGCCAGCGCAGGGCGGCGGAAGCGAGGAGGCACAGAGGGGGGGGGCTACAGTCAGAGGCGACGATAGGGGCGAATAGCCCAGGGGAGAGCAATACATGTATCCAGGCGCGCCGATGATCTATGTCTTCGACAAGGCTCCCGGGCGAATACGTGCAATGCCCGCCCCTGGGCTATTCGCCCTTATCGTCGCCGCCAATACAGATGGTGCAGCGCGAACGATAGCAGCGGGGAGGGATCATGCTGTAATGCGGATGAGAGGCGGTGGCATTCCTCGTGCCTCGTGGGCTGTAATGGATGGCAGGAGCTGCCGAAGTGCGTCCGATGCGTGGATTCACGTTCCAAGTGGTCAATACGGCACGATGGCAAGAGGTGGCTTGCCTGACAGAAGTATACGGCGTGTTCTGCCACTGCGGTTGGAAATTGATTAATTGAGCCTACTATCCCCACTACACGAACTCATCTGACTACTGGTGCTACACAAGATGTCATTACGCCGGTGCTTGTTTTACTTCTGGGTTGTTGCTGTAAATAGAATCACTGGTCAGTCTACGCCGCGAATCGCCACGGAGTGCACGGGTTACTCCAGTGATGTTGCGGTCGCCCTTTTTCCTCTCCTTCAGAGAAAACATGTCTTAGTTTTGTATGTTTCCTCTGGCGCGGACGTGACGGAAAAGTAGCCACGCTTAGTTGGCCGGAGCTCGCTGCTCATTTTGGCTGCCATCGCTGGAAAAAAAGTGCTAGTACGTCGCAAATTCGCTTGCACTTGGTAATGCAACTATCACGGTTACTGTAGCCATCACCACGTCGATCAATATTTGGATTACTATTGATGTCACGTGCTACTGATAATATTCATTTCGCCGTCATCACTGCTGCGACTCGAACTGCCAATCACATCCCGATCGTTTGTACGTACGAGTTTGGCTCATCAAGTTCGTGCCACATCTCTTTCACGGCAGCTAGCTAGCCCAAGGGGGCGGAGGAGGTGTGAAAGGCACTAGGCCCTTGCGGTTGTAGCACCGACGCCCCGAGGACACCGCGGAAGTCAACCTTGCACGTGTCTAAGCGAGCAGCTGGCTCTGCCCCACACGAGATGCCCTGGTCAGAAGTCCGCTGAGCGACCAAAACGGGCCAAAGAGTTTCCACTTTGCGTCATGCAGGCGGTGCCAGCAGGCGCGTCCGAAAATGCGCGGCGGCTGGCCAAAACTGACCCACGCCACGAAGACGACGGCGGCTGCGGGCGCAGCAGCACAGGCTTCCACTGTGGGGGAGTCCAGCATGTGCACTCAGATGGACGGCGCCGTCCACGACCGCTTGCGGCTGCGCCGGCAGCGCCAGTGGTGCGCTGGGAGCTGCCCCCTCGCCTGGAAGCAGGCAGCCACATGGTCCAAGGCAGACGCGCTGGAGGGGAAGGGGGGGAGAGCCCGAAGCGCAGATATGGGCTACCGCAGGAAACGCAGCAAGCGGGTAGGCGAGGGAGGACGGGGGAGGAGGCGGCCACGCCGCACGCTTGCGCGGCGCTGCTTCTGGTGTGGACATGCCCGCGCTCGCCACCACGAGCGCTGGGTGTTCCGCTCGGCCGGAGCGGGGACGGTAAAAGTCGCCCACGCGAGCAGCTCCACGACGACGACCCCAATGAGGGTGCCTCGGCGGATACACCATGATTCAACCGACCCCACGCTCGCTCCCAAAGGCCAGGCGACTGAAAATGAGTGCAGACTGTGACAAGCGTTGAGGCTACCCACGCAGAACTGCAGGGGAGGAAGGCGGAGCGATGCGCGAGGCGAGGGGACTGGGAGAGGGCACGATGTGCAAGAGACAGCGCAGAGCGGCGGACTGCGCAGAGCGGCGGGCGCACTCGAGGCTGCCCGGTCGCTCACTCGTGTAGCTTGCCCCATCCCGGAGCGGCGGGAAGCTGCTCGCTTGGCCACCCAGACTCGGCGCGAAAGACCAGGAGCCCGCTCAGTTCCCAGACCCCCTCACGGTGTGAAAAAATCACGACGGGAGGTTTTTCGCCAGTTTCGGCCTCGCGGGGCCCTTCCCGGGCATCGGGACCGTCAAAAAACGACGCAGGATGAAGAACCGTTCCCAGGGAAGGGGTCCAGACCTCTGGGGGTCGCCGTTGCGAAAAAATCACGACGTCGGGGGTCTGGGTTCGTCCCATTCTGGAGTCATCCCCTCCCCTGTCGGCGGCGCCGCCCCCCAGGACAGCTCCTGCGCGGCGCGTCTGCTGTAGTGGCACCACCGTCCGACTCGGAGACGTTGAGTGCCTGGCACATTCAGTGTACGGCTTTACGAGTCTGCATCGGCGCAGTAGCGACACACACACACATTGCGCCGCGCAGACATTGCAAAGTTCCGAGTGGCATCTATATCATTCGCATTCTAGGAGTGTGGAGACAATGATTCAACTTGCGAAACGCCTCGGTCAAGCTCGCTGCCAGGTCCTCGGCCATGCTCAGCAGGGCCCGTGCATAAAACGCGTCGCCCGAGCGCTTGCCGGAGGAGGCAGGGGAAGAGGACGATCCAGAGGAGGTGAGGGGGATCACGAGGAGAGGGACAATGGGCAGGGGAGGAGGGGAGGAGGTGGGGCAGAGGAGCAGAAGAGATAGGTAGAAGAGTGCGAGAGAAAGGAGAGAGAACAACGGAAAACGAGAGAGAGAGAGAGAGAAGAGGATGATGAAGAGGAACAGCCATCAGGAGGAGGAGGGGGAGGGGGAGGAGGAGGAGGAGGAGGAGGAGGAGGAGGAGGAGGAGGAGGAGGAGGAGGAGGAGGAGCCAGAGGAGCACGCGGGGACAAGGGCCGAGAGACGAGCCAGAGGGGAGGCCCAGTGCCCGCACGGCTTCTACAGAGAGGCGCCGATCGTGTTCGCCTGTGGCGAGCAGCGCAGGGAGGTCTGCGTACCCCGCCGCCTGTTCTTCGAGGAGGAGGAGGAGGAGGAGGAGGAGGAGGAGGTGGAGGCGAGCAGGAGGAGGAGGAGGAGGAGGAGGAGGAGGAGGAGGAGGGAGGAGGAGGAGGAGGAGGAGGGGGAGGAGGAGGGTGGAGGAGCAGGAGGAGGAGGAGGAGAAGGAGATGAGGAGGAGAGGGAGGAGGGAGGAGGGAGGAGGGAGGAGGAAGGGCTATCTCTTCCGTCACCCCATGTGATGCCCGCCGTTGCCACCTTCTCAAGGCCAGTCCACTCGCCCTCCATCCCCATCTTCGTCAATGGGCTAAGCAGGGTCGTCATCAAAACTCCGCGCATGGCGGCGAAAAGGCAAAAACGATCAGGGTGAGGGGCCCCTGGCCATCCCATCATCAGCATCATCATCATCAGCAGCAGCATCATCATCAGCAGCAGCAGCATCAGCATCATCATCCTTATCCTTATCCTCATCCTCATCATCAGCATCAGCATCAGCATCATCATCGTCATCATCACCATCACCAGCATAATCATCAGCAGCAGCAGCATCATCATCACTGTTGCCATCGCCAGTGCCATCATCGACATCCATCTCCTCGCATCACCGTCATCCCCGACGTTATATAATAGTCATGTCTCGTCTGTCCTCTTCCGCATCGTCGTAAACAGTACTGTGTCTCTTCCCTCATCGTCCTCCTCCCTCCGCCTCGAGGGGGGTTGGGGTCACGACGAGCCCGTAGATACCGACCCACCTTGTACCCGTCTCGAGCGGCCCGCCCCGACTCCAGCGCTGTACTCGTGGGTCACCTTCGGCAGGCAGGAGGAAGCCAAGGAGGGCGGGGAGGAGAGAGTGGAGTAGGACAGGAAGGGCAGGAAGGGGGAGGTGAGTGCAAACCCAAGACCCATCACTGATGTTGCAACAAACCCTTCCCCAAGTTCCCTCTGCATCGGCCCTTACAAGCATTCATGGTCACTGCTGGAATTTCCCCGTTGGAGGGCAACCGTTTGAAAATCCTAACCCGTGCAAACATCATTCGTGCGACCTCAACGCCGCAAATCAACGATATTGTTGCGCCCCAGCGATCCTAAATCGCGCCAGAATGCCATTCCTGGGGCTTCCACACCACAAACCAACGTGATCATTGCACCGTGCTAGTCCTACATCGCGCCGAAACATTGATGCGGGGACGCCAGCCACAACAATTGGTTTGTAAATGCTGTAACATCTTAAGACGAATGTGTGCAGCGCTAGGGCGAAAGACACTTGCTGAAAAGAAGCCGCCCTTCATCCGCGAAGCTATGCTAAGCTTTTACGACGAACGCGTGCGGTGTTAAGGCGAGGGCCACGCATTGGAAACGGCCGCCCTCCATTCTTGAAATTCGTGCATCTGTTAAGGCGAGTGCGCGCGGCGTGAAGGTGATATCCACATGTTGCAAACGTCCCGCCACCCGTGGAATTTATGAAGTTATTGTGAAAACGAATGTGCGAGGCGTCAAGGCGAGACCCGCGATTTAGAAACCGCCCGCCCTCCACGTGAAGCCCCTGCAAACGTGTACGACGAATGTACGCGAGGCCAAGGCGAGAGCCACGCATTCTCATGGAGCCACCCTACATCCGCGAAGCTCTTCCAAGCTCTTAAGACGAATGTGGGCGGTGCTAAGGCGAGGGCCACGTTTTGGAAACGGCCCGCCCTCCCCCGTGAAACTCTTGGGTATCCCAACCTTCTTGTGGTGTTGGGCCCTCGTTTTGAAGACAGTGCCTCGAGTCTCCTCTCATCCCCCCCCTCTCCTCCTCATCCCTCTCTTCCCTCCTCAACTGCGTGCGCTTGCTCCCCGCATCATTCTACCATGTCGGCACAGCCCTCACACGTTCAGTGGGTCCACCGAAGGCCCCAGTGGCGGTGTTTACATGCGTCCCCGCCACCACCTTCGACACACCCATCACACGATTCGTGGCTCCATAGGGAGCTCCACCGAAGGCCCCAGTGGCAGTGTTCGCCTGCGTCTCGCCACCCATTCGGCACACCCGTCACACGCTTCGTGGCCCCATAGGGAGCTCCACAATAGGCCACAGCGGCGGTGTCCACATGCGCCCCCGCCATCCAAGTCGGCACACCCTTCACACGTTCAGTGGCCCCATAGGGAGCGCCACCGAAGGCCCCAGCGTCTGTGTCCACATGCGTCCCGCCACCAATTTTGGCACACCCATCACACGATTCGTGGCCCCACAGTGAGCTCCACCGAAGGCCCCAGTGGCGGTGTCCACATGCGCCCTCGCCACCGGTTCGGCGCACCACTCGCACGCTTCGGGGCCCCATAGGGAGCGCCACCGAAGGCCCCACTGGCGGTGTACACGTGCGTCCTCGCTACCGAATTCGGCACACTCCTCACACTTTTCACAGCCCCATAGGGAGCTCTACCCAAGGCCCCAGCGGCGGTGTACATATGCGTCCCCGCCACCCATTCTGGCACACCCTTCACACGCTTCGCGGCCGCATATGGAGCTTCACCCAAGGCCCCACTGGCGGTGTCCACATGCGTCCCCGCCCCAAATCTCGGCATGCTCCTCACACGTGTCGTGGTCCCAGATGGAGCCCCACCTAAGGCCCAAGTGGCGGTGTTCGCTTGCGCCCCCGCCACCATGTCAGGTACACGGCACACCCCTCACGACACCACCCAAGGCCCCAGTGGCGGTGTTCGCCTGCGTCCCCGCCATCCATTTCGGCACACCCCTCGCACGTTTCGTTGCCCCACGGCGAGCTCCACCTAAAGCCCCAGTGGTGGTGTCCACATGCATCCCCGCCACCCATTCGGCGTACCCCTCGCACGGTTCGTGGCCCCACAGAGGGCTCCACCAAAGGCCCGAGTGGCGATGTCCACATGCGTCCCTGCAACGCATGTCGGCACACCATTCCGGCACACCCTCACATGCATCGCGCTTCCATAGGGAGCCCCACCGAAAGCCCAGTAGTGGTGTTCGCATGCGTCTTCGCCGCCCAAATCGGCACACCTCTCGCACATGTCATAGCCCCACCGGGAGATCCACCAAAGGCCCCAGTGGTCGTGTTCGCATGCGCCCCCGCCACCAATTTCAGCGCACCCCTCACACGTTTCGTCGCCTCGTAGGGAGCTCCACCGAAGGCCCCAGTGGCGGTGTCCACATGCGCCCCCGCCACACATTCGGCACACCCATCCCACGCTCCGTGGCCCCGTAGGGAGCTCCACCGAAGTCGGAGCTCCACCGAAGACAACACACAATTGCGTTTTGCACAATTGCACATGTTGGGCTCTTCGGCAGGCAAATGTAAAGCGAATGTGCGCGGCGCTAGGGTGAGACCCGTGAAACCCTTACAGGGTTTTGAGACGGATGCGTGCGGCGTTAACGCGAGGGTCACATATGTTTACGATTAGTCTGGCGATGAGCCCAACCATATGCAATTGTGAATACCGCAATTGTGAGTACTGTTTGAGGTGGAACTTCCTATCGGGCAACGCCCGCAAGCGGGCGGTGACGTTGGGGCTTTCGCTGGAGCTCCCTGTGGAGCGAAACGTGTGAGGGGTGAGCCGAAATGGGGGTGGCGCCCGCTTGCGTGCTGCACCATTGGGACCGTAGGTGGAGCTCCCTGTATGGCCACGAAACGTATGAGGGGTGTGCCGAAATGGTGGTGTCGCCCACACGCGGGCTGCGCCATTGGGGCCGTTGGTGAAGCCCACTTTGGGGCCACGAAACACGTGGGGTTTTCCGAAACGGGTGTGTCGCCTACATGCGGGCTGCGCCTATGAAACTTGAGGCGTAGCTCCCTATGGGGCCAGGAAACGTGCGAGGGTGTGCCGAAACGGGGGTGACGCCCATTCGGGCGGCGCCAATTGGACCGTAGGCGGAGCTCCCTATGGGGTCACGAAATGTGCCAGGGTTGTACCGAGACAGGAGTAGCGCCCACATGCGGGCGGCGTCAACGAGACTTGAGGTGGAGCTCTCTATGGGGCCACGAAACGTGTGAATGGTGTGCCGAAACGGGGGTGGCGCCCACATGCGGGCGGAGCCAGGGACATTAAGTTCAGCTCCCTATGGAACCACGAAACGTGTGAGGGGTGTGCCGAGACGGGACTGATGACGATGATAGTGATGATGATGGCCGTGCTGACGATCATGATTAGGAGGAGGAGGAGGACGACGACGACGACGAGGAGGAGGAGGAACGGGGCAGCGGGTGGGAACGAGGGACGAGGAGTAGAAGGAGAAGTGACGCGGGACGTTGTTTCTTCTACAAGAAGACCCAACACCAGAGGAAGGTGGTGGAACTAACAACAATAACAATAACCACAACAACAACCACAACAGCACCAGCAACAAAAACAGCAAGAACACCACCAACAACAACAACGACCACAATCGTTTTAAGACTGTTCGCTCTAATCTGCTTGCGTGCCATACAACACGTATGTCCCAAACCCTCGATACCCACCCTCTTCGTCTTCGATCGTATCCCCTTGGGGATATACCTTTCTTGCCTGCAACTTGTCTGTCGTGCAGCACCTAAGGCAGGGGAAGAGAGGACGGATGGAAGGAAGGGACAAGGGAGAGAGACGAGGATGGAGCACGAGAAAGACAGAGAGAGAGTAGCAGGAGGGGGTTAGGAGCAGAAAACATGTGGCCGAACCACAAGGGGGCCTACGCCGGGGCCACGAAAGTCAGCAATGGGGCCACTGAGGGCACGAGCGACTGGGCGCCACGAAGGGCGAGTATATGGGCCACAAAGGGCCACTGAGGGCAGGGGGGGAGGCACACGGGGCTACACGGGGGCCACGAAGGGCAGCAATGGGGCCGTTGAGGGCACGAGCGACTGGGGGCCACGAAGGGCGTGTGTATGGGCCACAAAGGCAGCGAGGGGGCCACTGAGACCAGCAGCGGGGCCACGAAGGGCAGCAATGGGGCCACTGAGGGCACGAGCGACTGGGGGGGCTACGAAGGGCGTACATATGGGCCACAAA